CAAACACAGGCTTTTAAGTTGCCCTTGAAGAGTTAAGTTTTACTGTAAATTACCCAACAATAGGTTTGATGGTGTGGATACAGAAGAACAGTGGAGTTGCATCCTCATTGCTTTGGTGGCCAAATCTAACTTCAGCAGGATCATTTTGTGTTCATATTCTTTGTCAGACTTATATGTAATTGTCTGGAAATTGCTTTGCTACATTATAAATATGATTGGGGTAGTTTAACATATGGTCCAAAACAAAACGAATATGTCATAGTGTGACCTTTGAACTCGTAGTTTATCTCAGCGTATATAACGCATACAACCAAAATGTTGGTGATGTTTTTCAAGCTCAAGTTTTCCTCTTATTGCTCTTATTTTGAAATGAAGTGACATCATCCATTGAATATCTACACTTTAGGTGCAACATTGCTCTTACTTTGAAATTTCACATCAGAATTGGATGAAACTTGCTTAGCCACATCTGGAGGTGTTCTACTATCCTGCTGAAGTGACAGCATGAAGATTGACAGCAAATTATTTCAAATTGATTATATAGAGAGATTTTGAGTGGCTTTTATTGTGAAATTCAACATCAGAATTGCGTGAAAGTTGTTGATTAGTTGTTTCTACTATCATGCTGATGTCATAGTATTCGCTAACGAAAGTCCAGTTTTATGGCAACATTTACAGCAGCAAAGCTCAAATTGACTCAATGTAGCGATTTTTAAGACCTGTAATCTTTAAATCCCAAATCATGCAAATGACTTTAATGAGTAACATCTGGAGATCATCATATGTAATTTGTTAGTGAAATTAGGCACCTGCAATAAAAAAAAAAAAAAATGTTTTAGTAGTTTTTGAGGCAAAAGAGTGTGAACAAAATAAACATTTCCATTTTTACCAGTAGACCAGCATAATAGAAAAAAGTCAAAAAAAAATGTTTCAAAAAACAGATGTAAATGTGTGTAAAAAAAAACGAGGTCGATATATCGCAAAGATTATGCTTTTATTTTAAAAGGAGTCTCAACCATTACTGTCATAACTCTTAGTGTTTGCGTGACCTACAAGACCAAATAAGGCTTGTTTGACTGCCATTTTCGGCTCAATTGACCGCACTGCAGTGCAGAAAGAACCAATGTTGGGCAGTGTGCAGTGACAGATTGGGCTCTGTGCTGGAGGTGAGTGAGGATGATTAACAGTCCTGCTAGGACTAAATCAAAATAGCTTTTTTATAAGCCACCTAAAAGTCTCTTGAGAGCATCCCTTATTTCCACCTTTGTTAAC